TAAATCAATACAAATTCAGGGTAGCTTGTAATTAGATTAATTTTAGGTTTTGAAAATGATTAAAGATAGAGAATAGGACTTTATTATTACATAGTGTTTAGAATAGAACAACAAAAAAGTTGTAGTCTAATGAAAATTATATTTATTAATAATAGTAGTGTCCAAGGTTTGAATTATCCAAACTACCAATTATATTCCCACACGCAAACTACAAACGAGAGTATGATAATCTTTTTTTAAAATTTCAGGGTGTCCCGGACTATTAATTATAATTTTTTATCGATACGGAAATTACCACCGGGGGTTGGATAATCGATTTTCAAATTTTAGGGGTGTCCTTGGACACCCACAAATGGCCCTGGGTCCGCCCCTGCGCCCATTGGTAATCTCCTCAAGGAGGTTGGGGACGACATACTCGCCCATGGTTATCTCCTCGACCAGACCTTCTCTTATAGGCTCCATTTTTTGATTCGATATAGTCAAAATTACATTTTTTTTACTCAAATTACTTAGAATTTTACATTTGTTTTTTTGAAAAATCAAAGATTTGATCAAACATTCATATGAGTAGCCAAATTTGATAAAAAATTCATATGGATGAACATTCATATGAGTACCAAATTTGATCAAACATTCATATGAGTTAGGGATGGCATAGCCGCCCATGGGTGATCTCCTCAAGATTTGATCAAACATTCATGCATACAGAAGAAACAAGAAAAGCTTGGTAGTCGATCAATAGTCAAATCTCCCGATGAGAGGGCCTTTTTGTGCCACAAGATGGGCAACCCTATTAAAATGATGAGTAGCAAAACAATAGGATACAAAGCATAAATAAGTAGCCGAATTTTGAGCATCCTCCAAGATCATTAAGAAGATATCCTCCCACCATCTATTTAATCAACAGATGGGAATCACCATAAAAATTGACTGACAGAAAGGAATGAGTAAGACACCATTGCATAGCATCCCGCAAAACCAATAATTTTATTAAAAATGGATCTTGAATAGCATCATAGCACTTCCCAAAGGCAAAAATGACAATACATGTTGCATTGAATCCCACGAAGGCAATGCTACCACCACAGTCTCGTTTAACAGAGTCATCAAACCAAAACGCTAATGTGTCTGAGGATGTCCCCCTATTGACGCTTGGGATATAAGTAGGTACTTGACTAGCCGTGGCAGTATTAGTAGAACGGTGAGGAGAAACATTTCCAAGCACAACCTGATGGGGTGGTAGGGAAGAAGCAGCTCTCCACTTCTCCACTTGCGCTTGGACTAAAATTTTCAGTTTGGGAGGCAGCAGTAAATTTCGTAAAATCTTCCAGAATCGAATGTCAAATGGCAGTTGCGCTAGCGAATACTATAGATTAAGTTCATTAGATAAAAGATGATAACCTATTTTAACTGTACAAATACCAGACTTTGAATAATGCCAAATTAGACGGTCATGACAATTTGTAAAAGGTAACAGAATTGCTAATATCAGCTTCACACTTTGCGGCTCAAACAGAGTGCGAAGCAACTCCAGTTTTCATGAGCATGAAGAGGAGCTGATAAGCTCCGAAACAAAGGCAGGGCAAGAGGACATACCCGACCGTAATATAGGAGAAGAAGGTGGAGAAGAAGGTAACCAATTATTCTCTAAAACTCGAATACAAGAGCCATCTCCGACTTGCCATTGGAAACCACACTTCAACCAGCCCCACCCTTCCAAAATGTCGTGCCACGCCTAAGAGGGACGTGATCCTATTGATCAAGGAACTGATGTTGGGGATGATATAATAAAGTTGTAAATAGCTACAAACCTCAATTCTCGAATAATTTAACTACAAGAATCATGAATCATGTTATAATTTGTTTCTTAATTTTTGATTAAAAATGAAGAACTACCTTCAACGATTTGTGTAGCCATAAATCCTACTGCCAGTTTTCCAAATTAATCCTGCGGATACATATTTTTAATGATTTATGTTTAAATTACATAGTAATATGAATCGTCTTGCCCCAATTTGTGGTCCATGATAAATTACTCTGCCTGGACATGACCTATCACGAAAGCACATATATATCAAGATATCTGTTCCAACCTGCCATTGTGATTCCTAGTTGGAGACTTACAGATTGCATTATTGTGCACTTTAATATATAAAAGCCTAGCATGAGATATACCATTCATTAGTGGCTCGCACACTCCTCCAAGTGCAAGTGAGGAAGTTCCAAGTCATTCTTTTAGCCCACTCTTCATTCTACAACATTTGTGTTTAGTTATTGTTTGCTAAGTTTTCGTCTATGGCTTTCTGCACAAATCATCGCCTTTGTATTTTGTTATTGTTCACTAGGTTTTCGTCTATGGCTTTTTTGCACGAATCATCACCTTTGTGTTTTGTTATTGTTCGTTAGGTTTTCGTCTATGACTTTTTGCACAAATCATCGCCTTTGCCCACCATTTTGCAGCCCATCTCGAAATACTGTCTGCGGAATTCTAAGTTGTTCCGCACCACCGTTTCCCAAGGCCGCTACCACGAGTTTTGTATCAGAACCGAGTTTCATCATATTTAGTGTTTCTTTCTTTTTTTTCCTTTTTGTTGAGCATGATCACAATTGAATCCAAACACATGGGTATCCTAATTTGAACACAAATCATTGCCTTTGACCACCATTTTTTAGCCCATCTCGAAATACTGTCGACGGAATCCTAAGTTGTACCCCATCATCGTTTCCAAAGGCCGCTACAACGAGTTTTGTATTTGGTCCCAGTTTCATCCTCTTTTGTGTGTTTGTTATTGTTCGCTAGACTTTCGTTTATAAGTTTTGCACAAATCATTGCATTTGTCCACCATTTTGCAGCCCATCTTGAAATACTGTAGACGGAATCCTAAGTAGTTCCAAAGGCCGCTACCACGAGTTTTGTATCAGGATCGAGTTTCATCCTCTTTAGGGTTTTTCTTTCTTTCTTTTTTCCTTTTTATTGAGCATGATCACAATGGATCCCGAATCCATGGGTATCCAACCTAATTTGGTCCAGTCAAAGCGACTTGAAACCAACTTTTACATTTATAAATTTCTTTTTTCTTCTTCTTTTGGTTGGGAAGACAATTGAACCCGAATCTAAGATTTTGACGAGTGTTGTATTGTGAGCGAACTTTATCCGCTTTTGTAGTCGGAATGTTGGACCAAGCGTTAATTTGATAAAAAAATTGTTCAAAGCGAGTTGAACACGTTGTTGACCAGTTTTAGATGGAAAGTGAGTTTAGTACGCTTTAATTTTTTTTTCTCATTTTCCTTTTTGTTGAGAATGACAATTGAACTATTACCCATCATTGGCGCGTTTCGTATCGAGAGCGAGTTTTATCCACTTTTGTAATTGACAGGTTGGGTAAATTGTGAATTTGTTAAAACTGGGTCGACCCTGTCAAAGCGAGTTGAACGCAGTGTTGAGAGTTTGGGGTCATGAGCGAGTTTAATCCGATTTAGTATTTTTTTTTACCTTTTTCCTTTTGGTTGAGAATGACAATTGAGTCCAAACGCATGGGTATACAAACTAATTCGACCCGACCAACGCGACTTGAACCCGATTTTACAGGTTTTCGGCGGGAGCGAGTTTTATTTGTTTTTGAAATTGACTTGTTGTGTCAGGTGTGAATTTTTCCAAAACTTGGTCCAACAGGTCAAAGCGAGTTGAACCTGGTGTTGACGATTTTTAGCTTTAGTGTTTATCATTTTGCTTTTTCCTTTAGTTTGAAAAAATCAATTGAACCCAAATCCATTGGTATCCAACCTAATTTGACCCAATCAATGCGAGTTGAACCTCCACAAACTTGCAATAAGTCCAAAAATTCCATAAACGAGAACCACGATTACCTCAAACCCAAAAAAGTCATACAAATTGAAACATTAGCGTCATAAAAGTAAAAGAAACTAAAAGTCATCTTCTCCACATGACGAAGCAATGTTGTCGGCGGCCCTCTTCAAAAGGTGCACGAACTCCATATACAGATCTTCCACTTGTTGGATTGTTTGTCGGACATAGTGGGAAAATCAAGCAGTGGCTTCTTCTCTCTCATTTTTGCTTTGTACCTCTTCTCCAGATTTGGATCTTCCTGGTCCTGGGGGGTTGATGTTGTTGATACTTGTGACTCCCTCGCTCGAGTTTGAGTGCATATTCTTCGACAAAAGTCGATTGGATGAAGAATAGGGGTAGATCTCCGCTGATTGCCATGAAGCTAGAGAAGCTCTTTTCGATTGACCAGTGGGATGCTTTACAACACAACAGTTACAGGAGGCGGGCGACGAGCAAAGAAACCAATCTAGAAGAAAGAGCATCCATGATTTTTGCCTGAATTTATGTTTTTCTTCCCTCCTCGTTGCGTTTTCCCTTCGTAATCTCTCCATAACTCGTCCACCGTCCCTCCCGTTCGCTAGTGAATAATCGCCGGATCGTTGGAACATTGTCTGCTTGGATTTACGGATTTCTCAAACGAAAAAGTGAGGTTGGGATTGAGGTTGAGCCTACCCCAAGGCCTAGACTCAACAAATATGGAGGAGAAATCGCAAGGACATGGTGGCAGTGGGCGGAGGTGAATACAGGGTCCAAGGCGGTGAGTGGGAGGATGGGGAAGTGTTTGGGGAGAGTGGGTGGAAGGTGAACATGCATATTTTTTCTTCTTTTTTATTACTTCTAATTTAAATTAGTTAAATAAAATATAAAAACTCAGGCAGAAAAATTAATAAAAAAGGCCAAATCAGCAAACGACGTTAGTGTAGTCATCATTCATAATGGTACCTTTAAAGTTATTAACGAAATGGCTATTTCTGTGTATTTTTAAAAAATTGGCTATTATTGTCATAAAATATAAAGTTATAACAATGAAAGTGTATTTTACCTTAAAATTATCGACTCAAAGAAAATACTAAATTCAATCAGTCTACACACATTCTTCGAGACTTGGACTACCAAAAGAGAAAGATTAAGAATAACACGTGCATGTTTTTGCAACTGTCTTAACAATTAATTACGAACGAATTAGTTTAGGGTTTAAGTCTAATTGAACCACTTCCTACGTAGCAGTCGGTAGTAGAAGCTTAGTTGCCAAGCCTTTGCCTCTTTGGTGAACTTCCGCAGCCGCCGCCACCGCCGCTAAACGCATCATCCGAACAGTGCTTTCGCAGGTAACGATTAGCCATGTCAACGAGTCGTCTTCTCCTGTCGTCCATCACCAAATACCTCCTCCTTTCTTCACAAGGCAGCATCGGGGTGCCTCTAGACCCCTCTTCTTCTTCTCCAGCGAGCACTAGAGTCACGCTGCCACCCTCCATTTTCGCCTCCTCCTTCTCTAACGAAGATTCCGGCAGTAGGTTGCCTCTTGTTTCTGTGATGGTTTCTTCCCCGTTCTTCCTCTTCTTGAGCTGATGAGGAGCAGAGTATTCCTTCTCCTTCTCGTCGTTATTCTTTTGCTTTTGGTGGCTGTTGTTTGCGGCCGATCTCCGCGGCGGCGACGTATTTCCCGTTCTTGTTCTTGTGTTGGTGAGCCGCCCGTGAGCACCGACGGAGATGGCGGAATCGATGATATTTGGCACGGCTTTGGATTTGGTCATGAAAATCGCGGGGCAAGGGAGCGCCATTGTGGGAAGTTGAGGAAAGTCTACTGTAAAGGTAAAGTGAGAGATAGGTGGCAAAAGGGTTGAATCATTCGTTTACCGAAGTCAGAAACACACACTACACTAAGATATATATATTAGTTAATAGCAAGACTGAGCGGTTTCCTAATCCTAGACGGATTGGTGTTCTATTCCTCCTAACTAATTAGTCGGTTTAAACTAATCCGAATTTGGAACGGATAATGTCATATGCAGCTGGTTTGTATCCCTTAGGGTTGCAACTACGTACTTTAATTACTTATACAAATGAGAGCGGAGGAATTGAATTGAGGTGCTCTTCTCCGGGTAGTACTGAGGTGAAATCAGGTTTTTTTTGCTCCTTACCTGCCTTAACTATTTTGATGGTATTTTGTCAAAAAAAAAAGAGATGTTGAAGCTGGAAAACGATCTAGAAGGTTGAAAATTTGTTACATTTTAAACGATTGTAACCATTTTGTTACAAGTTAAACTTAATGTGACCATTTTGATCAATTACCATGTATAAATAATAGGGTTAATAGCATTTTGTACACGTTCACTATCGTAAATTAACAAATGTGCCCCTCTACTAAATTTTTGCACAAACATACCCTACTAATATCAAAGTTTAACGAATGTGGCTGGGCGTATCACCTTGTGTACTGCGGTTTAGACAAGCCAACCTATTTATATGTTCAGTCTATTCTGTGCACCGTGCTCTGTTATTGATAAGTTTGAGAAGCTGCAGCGTGATTTTGTTTGGTCTGGCCGTCAGAGTGAGAGGAGATTTCATCTTATTTCCTGGGACTTGTGCAAGGCTCCGAAACGCTTGGGGAGCTTAGGTGTTTCTGATCTAAGGCTCCAAAATGCTTGGGAGGCTTAGGTGTTTCAGATATGAGGCTCCGAAACAAATCCATGGTGTGTAAATGGTGGTGGCGCTTTGTTGTGGAACAGGAGGCTTGGTGGAGGGAGATCATTTTGATCAAGCTCCCTATTGCTTCGTCTGAATGGATGTTACCGGTCCTTGTAGCGTGAGTCCTTGGGTGCAAATCGTGAAGACTAAGAAAGTGTTCTGGAGATTTGCTCACGTGGAAGCTGGTGCTGGTTCGGGGGTTTCCCTTTGGCATGACGTGTGGTTAAATGGGTGACTGCTTGGTGAGGAATTCCCTAGGGTTGTTGCTGCAGCGAAATCGCCTAACTGCTGGATCTCTGATGCTGTCACTTTGTCTGAGGGGAGAGTCTTGTGGGATATTCCTTTGAAATTTTCCTTGAGAGGGGGGGGCTGAGCATGAGAGAGTTTCCCTTTTAAATTTGGTTAGTGCATTACCTGCTAATTCGTTCTTTGCAGGTCCTTCTCGGCTGGTTTGGGGTCCTTCTCCAACCACCGAGTTCACCGCTCATTCTTGCTACACCGAGTGCCTTAAATATCGTTTCCCCGGCTCGGCTGCTTTTCCTCACAAAGTTTTTTGGCGACCTGAGGTTCCTCCGAAGATTTGTGTGTTTTTGTGGATCGTATATCAGAAGAAAGTTCTTACCCAAGAAGCTCTCAAGCGAAGAGGATGGGCTCTCCCAAGCCACTATGTTCTGTGTGGTGAGCAGGAGGAGTCGATCGATCATCTTTTCCTCCTTTGCAGGTTTTCCAGGGACATTTGGCGGATTCTCTCGTTCTTTGCTGAGCTCAAGTTGACCTCCAATGACATCTCAGACCTGATTAGGAGGTGGTCCTCTGCGCATCCGGCCACTCCTAAAGGGTGGTGCTCCCTGATTTTTCTTCACGCCTTCTGTTGGCGCATCTGGTTGGAACTCAAATCCAGGATCTTCAGGGATGTGAGTGTGACTGTTCAAGTTGTCACCTATCGGATTGCCTGCTGCATCGCTGAATGGCTGGTTGCTGCCCAGATTGTTGAGAGGGAGATCGCCAGCTCCTGGATGAGAGTCGTCAAGCTTTGCCTGTTTCCTGGACGAGTCGACGAGCCTGCCCTTCCCCTCACCGCTGTGGAGTACGATGACATTGATGCTGAAGCTGCTGATAATGTGCTGCAGTCATGATTTCCTCTCCTCTTTGGCGCTTTCCTGTTTGTCGTGTTGTCTCTATGGTGTTTTTGCTTGCCCGTGTCGGGTTTGGGGTTTTTATCTGTTGTGAAGCTGCCTTGACGCTTTTGTTATGCTGTCCTGCGTCCTACCGTTTTGTTTTTCCGTGTTGTTGGAAAACCGCTTTGTTGTCTTTCTTTTGTAGTGGTTGTTCTGCTGTTGCGGTCTGAGTGCTGCCGGTTTTTTAGTAGGGATTCTGAGCGGTTTACTTCCTTGGATCTCTTCCCCTGATCCTGTCCTGTACTTTCATTGTTGTTTTCCATTTCTGTTCTTTTGTATTAATATATTTCACCCTTATAAAAAAAAAAGACTATAGTAACATTAAAGTGATGCAGGAGCTACCCACTCCATAACCATGATGCGGAAGGTTGTTATAATAAAATCTACACATAAAATTGTTCATTGAGATTTAACAACCCTAATTGTGTTCTTCATAAAATGCATGGTTTAGCTTCAACCATTATGGTTGCTAATCATAAATTTATAGCAAAATCCATCCATAACATCACCTACACAGGGGATAATTAATGACAACACTATATTCCTCCCAATAGGAGTCATTGACAATGTAGTCAAAGTTGCGCTTAAAAGGTTACGTATTGAGTTTTTTAAGTCACCAAAATGCTTTATGTTTCCATGTATAAACTTTAGTGTATTAAATCAAGCAAAATCGACTATAGAATGCAGTGAAAGCGCACAAAAGTGCTTAAAATCGTAATTTTACTCCGCTTTTATGTGCTTCTGTGTAACATATTTAATTTAGAAGCAATCACACGTAAAAGAACCGCGAATGCTCTCATCCCTAACCAATTGAGTAGTGTGGGGCAATATGCATATGACGTTAACATCTTGATGTCGTTTCAACATGATGAAAGAGAGGCATCTAATACATGTAATTGTATGCATATCTCTTTTTACTTTGTAAGACATAATTTGTTTTTTTAATACATACGCCTATTTGATTAAAAATTGAATGATAATCACATGTACATACGCCTATCTCAACAATTCATTACTCAAATGCCTACAACCCATGAACCTACGCTCTCACAGGCTGAATCTACTTAGATGAATTTCTGACTATTCTACTGGTACTAGTCAAATCTTAATCGTCTGAAGATGAAGCTTCGATCAAAGAATTTCTGTCCGTTCATATTTTCGTTGTTGTCTTAACAATTCATTAATTAATTACGAACGAACGAATGAATTTAGGGTTTAACTCTAATTGAACCACTTCCTACGTAGCAGTCGGTAGTAGATAGCTTAATTAGTTGCCAAGCCTTTGCCTCTTTGGCGAACTTCCGTTACACGCATCTTCCGGACGGTGCTTTCGCAGGTAACGATTAGCCATGTCCACGAGTCTTCTTCTCCTGTCGTCCATTACCAAATGCTTCCTCCTTTCTTCCCAACGCAGCAACGCCATGCCTCTCGACCCTTCTTCTAATCTTCTTCTTCTCCAGCGAGCCCTAGCTTCTATCAATTGTCATCTTTTCCTCCTTTGCAGGTTTTCCAGGGACATTTGGCGGATTCTCTTGTCCTTTGTTGAGCTCAAGTTAGTACGAATGAATAAGAAAGGAAAGTAGTTCGGGTGGTAAACGTGAAAGATATGTATAATTTAAGTTACCAAACATGTAATTTAGCCTATATGCTTCAATCAATTGTCATTGCAAATGTTGAAAGAGTACTTAATGCAATGAATAAAGTGAAGAAATAATTTAGAATCAAATTAGTAGTGATGATTTTATGAATACTTTTTCGATGAGGTATCTTAATATCTCTCATAATTTACGCAAGTGAATGTATTAAGATTGAAGCTACTTTAGATATATTTATGGCAAGCCCACTAATACTAATCAAATCATAATCGTCCAGAGGTGAAGCTCTTATCAAAGCTACAGAGATGAATGGTGACTGTTGGTTAGTTTTCTATCTCTAGAATTTCAAGAAGAAGTCGATGAAGGAAATTAAAGAACAACCACGGCATATTACAGATGGCACTGTTGTCCACTTTTAAATAGACTAGTATAATCCCGCTCGCTATCACTTCGTATTGAGCGAGAAAATTATATTTTTAAGATTGATAGTTTGAATTTTCAATTTTGACCCAAATATAAAGAGTTTGTTATCTACAACTCCATGTAGTCGACACAACGATGCCTCTAATAAGGTTGAATTAGGTTTAATACTCATAGTTTGGGTTTAATTTCATTCTCAACAAAAAAAAAGGAGAAATTAACACATACTAAAGCGGATAAAACTCGATCACGACCCAAAATTCGGCAACATCATGTTCAAGTCTCTTTGATCAGCTTGAACCGAGTTTGTAGCAAGTTCACAACCGACCCGACGCGCCAATTACAAAAGCAAATAAAACTCACTCCCGGCCGAAAACTTGTAAATACCGGGTTCAATTCGTTTTGATAAGGTTGAATTAGCTAGGTTGGATACGCATAGGGTTGGGTTATCAACTAAAAGGAAAATGATATATAAAAAGAACTAAAGCGGATAAACTCGCTCCTTACCAAAAACTCTACACACCGAGCTGAACTCACATTGACTGGTTCGAACCGAGTTTTTAACAATTCACACTCGGCTCAACATGTCAATTCTAAAATCAATTGTCATTCTCGACCAAAAGGAAAGGAGAAATAAAAAATATTAAGCAGCTGAATTGGTTCTCGATAAAAACTCGTCAACACCGTGTTCAGCTCGCTTTGACCGTGTCGAATCCAGTTTTTAACAAATTCACACTCGACATAAACTACCAATTAAAAAAGCATATAAAACTCGCTCTCGATATAAAACTTGTCAATACCATGGATTTGGGCTCAATTATCATTTTCAAGGAAAGGAATAAAAATACCAAAATCGGGTTCAAAGTTGCTTTGACCTGGATGAATTAGGTTGGATACCTATGAGTGTGAGAGATAATAAAATACTAAAGAATATGAAACTGAGTCTCGATACAGAATTCGACAACACAAAGTAGATTTTGTATGGATTTTCGATAGCGATCTTGGTACACGGTGGATGGGTACAACTTAGTATTCCACCGAAAGTGCTTGGAGAAGGGTTGTGCATTATTGGGAAAACGCGAGGATTGTGTATAATAGATAAGGTATGAATCTTCGGTTGCAGTCATGGCAAACGGTGGAAGAGGACAACTTAATTATGATTTCGTCGATAGTGTTTCGAGATGGGTAATTGTTGTAAGCGGGAAAGCCAATGAACAATAAATGAAAACTTAGTAGACAATTAATAACTATAATGGGAAACCTAATGGGCAATAGATGTAGACCCAATAGACAATAGATGAACACATATGTTATAGAATAAGAGAGTAGGGTAAAAGAAGGACTTGAAACTTCTCCACTTGCACTTGGGATAATGTGAAAGCCACTAATGAATAGTAACCTACAACCTTAACTTTTATATAATTATATTATTATATTATTATTATAATAATTAATAATATATTAATTAATGTCAAGAACTGTTGGAAGGACAACAATGGCAACAAGGTTGTACGTTTTTTTATGGACTCAAAGGGTAAAACCATTGTTATAAGTACCGAACCAAATCAACGGCCAGACTAGTAGAATCGTCAGACCAGTTACGATAGCTGTCCGGTTCATTGCTTGAACGATTATTGATGGACCAAACGGTTTTTCATGGTTCAACATAAAATCAGATGAACCAATACGGTTTAACTGATTCGCTATTTTAACAAAAAAAAATGCTTTAACTGGTCCACTGGTCGACTTTACGTTGTCTACTACCGAGTAGAAGTGTAATTTTTAATTTGAATTAAAAAATGTGGTTTCTTTTGTGAGATGGTTGGAATGATTTATTAGATATTTTGGTGATGATATGAAGTTGAACTTGTTTAAACAGTTGGTCCCAATAACTCGAGTGGTTGGGAGAAGGTTATGCTCGATCTTATACCACTCTCTAACACGCCTACTCAAACGAAAGCCGACTCATGGGCTTGACATTTGCACAGACCCACAATACCATGTGCTTGAAGACAACTGTTAATATTGGGGGTCGCGGAGATTCGAACACACGACCACTTGGCCAAACCAGACTATGTTACCATGTCATAAACCAGTTGGTCCCAATAACTCGAGTTGTTGGGAAAAGGTTATGTTGTATCTTATATCATTCTCTAACATTCTCCTCCCAAAATTCAGGCAGGTTGCATGATCTTGATTCTGTGGTGATTTCTTTCCCGTTCTTCCTCTTCTTCGGCTGAGGAGCAGAGTACTCCTTCTCCTTCTTGTTGTTGCTGTTCTTTTGCTGGTGGTGGCTGTTGCTTGTAGCCGATGATGTCTTTCCCATTCTTGCTATTGTGTTGGTGAGCCGCTTCATGAGGACGTCGTTGTTTTTTTGGCCTTGAAATTCGTCGGACCACCCGTAAGAACCGACGGAGATGGTGGAATCAACGATGTTGGTCCTCATCGCGGGGCAAGGGAGCGCCATTGTGGTAAGTTGAGGAAAGTAGCTAGGGCAGCAGAACCGAAAGGGATTATTGAGCGATGAAATTAAAGGAAGCGCAGTGCACTGTTAAAAAAGTGAGTTGAATCGTTTTCGGTAATCACACACATATATATATTAGTTAACAGCAAGACTAGGCGGTTTTTCTAATCCTAGAAAGTGTTGGAAATTTGGTTGAACCAGACTAACCAAGTCAAACCAATTTTGGGTTGGACCGACCAACCGGTTTGGGATTAGACCGACCGAACCAATATTCTAATTTCGTAAAGGGATACTGGCGGTTACATTATTTTATGGATAAGGATAACCTTAAGGATAAAGGCAACCCTTCATATGGATAAGGACAACCTTTCATATGGATGGAGACAACCTTTCATATGGATAAAGACAACCTTTCGTATGGATAAAGGCAACCTTTCGTATGGATAAAGGCAACCTTTCATGAAACAATGCATGGATTCGTCCCCTATAAATATGTGTGTGGGGTGCATGATGCCACACACCATCAAACAGATTCTTCTTCTTTCTTCAAAATTTTCTAAGTATGCTTTAGTGTTCTTGAGCCTGGAACCTAAAGTGGTGATAGTTTTATCCTCGGGAGAAATTTCCTATAACCCTAGGCTTGTTGAGGGTGGAAATATTCTTTTCAGAAAGTGAACGTTGTTCACGACTCTATCACAATCCTGGTCACCCGGTCTCGGGCTATCGTACATATACCCTCGTCCCTAAAAGTCCCAACAATCGAAAAGAATAGTTTTCCGGTACGATGGCTCGAACTGCTCTTTACAAGAAACCGGTTCCGATCTATGGAATTATGAGAATGTTCGATGATGGGTTTTTCGTCGATGGCAGTAGAAGATGGGTTTTCTTCATACTAGTCTCATGGTGTATTCCATATTCGGAAGGTAACTTGGAAGAGGGATGATTCGAAGATGAGGAAGAGGAGAATGATTCGTAAAATGGAGAAATAGAAGAATGAAAATTGCATTTGGGTAGGTCACATACTCAATGGTAAATTTGCCTAATTCTCTATTCGACGTTTGCCTAGTGCTAGACAAATATGGATTTGTCTAGTGGTTTGATGGTGTGGTTTTGTCTAAGTGGTTTACGTTAAACCAAGGAGACGAAATTGTATATACAATTTTGATGATTCTGGTAATAGAGTCGTTGTGTTTGTATGTAGATAACATATTTATCTTTGGTACCAATCAAAGATAAGTGATTGTCTAGTGGTTTATGCTATTTTAAACCAAAGAGACAAAATGTGTACACAATTTATGATGATTCTAGTAATGGAGTCATCGTACATTTGTATGTATAAGACATGCTTATCTTTGGAATCAATAAAAGATAAGTGAACTTTGATATAAAAAAAGTTGTTATTTAAATTCTCCATGTGGGACATGGGGGAGGCAAATGTGATTCTGTATATTGAATCAAGCGGAACGACAAGAAAGTGTCATTCTCTCAATTTTTATGTATGAGAAGGTACTTGCATAAATTCCACAGTAGGAATTGTAGTGAGTTAAAGACCCCAATGGATCCAAGTATGGAACTTATGGTCAATACTGGAAATCAGTTTTGCAACTGGAGTATTCCATGTCAAATTGGGGGCTCGATGTATGCATGACTTACATTATGCTAGATATCACATATGCGATAGAACAATTAAGTTGGTACCTGATGAATCCTAGTTCTCATCATTTGAAATGAAATGAGGCGTGTACTAGGATATGTCAAAGGCACACTGTATTGACTTATAGTGGCTTTTCCATCAATTTTGGAAAGGATTTGTTGATGTTAGTTGGATTTCTCATGTTAAAGGTGATACTTCAACATTGAGATGGGTCCTCTTGCTTGGGAGAGGTGCCATAATTTGGGCCTCTAGAAAGTAAACTTGCATCACTAAGTTTCACTATGGAATCAAAGTTTGTGTGGCCTTGATTTCTCTTAGAGAAGAGACATAATTGTTGAGAGGTTTGGTTTATGACATATATTTATGGCCTAAACCAATCTCACCTATTACTATCTTTTGTGATAGTAATGCTAATTTGGCTAAGGCATATAGTCAAGTGAAAATGATAAGTACGGTCATGTGGGAGTATGGCACGGTAAAAGCTGTGAACTGATCATTCATAGTGTTAGTGTCTAGACAGTATGACCAAACTCGAATTAATTTGGTTGATAGTGGTTAACTAGTGACTTGGTGATCAAGTCTGTGAAAGGGATGGATTAAGTCCATATAATTTCTGGTAATGGGACACCCAATTCCCCTCTAATACAACGTTAGAGGCTGAATTCAATGTGGAAAGCTTATTATCAGAAATTGAAGCACAAAATTTGTCATCCCGAGGTATGTGCTTGTTATCCTGCATGAGAGAAGAGGATGAAGTTTAAAACTTCTTAATTGAATCGTTGAAAAAGTGTATTATGCGGTTACACGAATAGAGATTCAACCTACGTAAGCATGAAGTGTAGCCGCTTCAAGAAACCCGGACTTTGGTTTCATGTGCGCTTATAAGAAGGATTGGACACATGGCGGATAATAGTGTCAAGGCACTTAGAAGTTTTGAAAACTTAAGTGTATATTATCTTCGAATATTCATATGAGTCAATGGGTTCAATCGTTACCGACACCCTTTGTATTCGAGTATTCGTCAAGTGTAATATACTAAGGTGAAAATTCAATCGTCACGACATTTTCATTTATGCTTAAGTTTTGTTGGAAGAATGTTGTGATTTTAGTGAATTCTAATAATACACTAAAATGGGGGAGGAATGTTGGAAATTTGGTTGAACCGGACTAACCAAGTCAAACCAGTTTTGGGTTGGACCGACCAACCGGTTTGGGATTAGACCGACCGAACCGATATTCTAATTTCGTAAAGGGGCACGTCCCTTTGGCCTAGTGGCGGTTGCATTATTTTATGGATAAGGATAACCTTAAGGATAAAGGCAACCCTTCACGTGGATAAGGACAACCTTTCATATGGATGGAGACAACCTTTCATATGGATAAAGGCAACCTTTCTTATGGATAAAGGCAACCTTTCATGAAATAATGCATGGATTCGGCCCCTATAAATATGTGCGTGGGGTGCATGATGCCACACACCATCAAACATATTCTTCTTCTTTCTTCCAAAAATTTCTAAGTATGCTTTAGTGTTCTTGAGCCTGGAACCTAAAGTGGTGATAGTTTTATCCTCGGGAGAAATTTCCTGTAACCCTAGGCTTGTTGAGGGTGGAAATATTCTTTTCGGAACCACCCTACCTATGTACACCCCTAGGCCGTTGTGCTCTTCTCTCGGTAGTACTGAGGTGAAATCAGGCTTGTTTTTGCTCCTTAAGCTGCCTTAACTATTTTATTAATGGTATTTTGCCAAAAAAGATGTTGAAGTTGTAAAACGATTCTAGAAGTTGAAAGTATTGTTACATTTGAAACGTTTGTAACCATTTTGTTCCAGGTGCAAATTTATGTGACCATTTTATCAATGGCAGCATACATGCATATATAATATTCTACAAGTTGTTTTTGGAAAAAAAACAAAAAGTAGATGAACTTGTAACAATATGTACGACTCTTTTGCGAAGCTAATGTTCTCCGTCGACCTGTCGACATTAGAGAAAGTTTGTTTAGAATTTGTCATGAAGTTTAAACTCAAACATCCTTTTAGGCATGTTGCTCAAAGAAATTATTGTCTACACCAAGAGTACCACGTGGGGTTGGTGGGGTGGAACTTCGGGCAATAGAAATTTGCCACATGTTCTCTTATTCACATGAATCAATTTTTTATGAAAACATTTTTATTGAGAATTTTAATTTCCTTTTGTGTTTGTAACGTCCAATAAAAATAAATCTAATTAAACTCATCTCCAAAACACCAATCGAACTTATCCTCTGTCAGCTTTATATTCTACTTTTGGAAGCCCCAAAATTAACACTCCTCTGCGGCGTCTGCTTCTATTGGCGCCGCCGGTAGCTAAGAGGGTTTGATCTCATACGCGACCAAGCGAGATAGTGGCAATGGAAATCATTCTTGATTTCTCCGCATGGATATCGAAGTTGGTGGTGGGGAGCGGGGCAATGTTAGTGGCAGAGAGGAATCTCAGCCGATTGTTTGGTGGATCAGGTATTTTGAAATCTCACATTTTTTTTGGTTTGTTCCAAACTTATCGGCTTAATTGCAAGTTTTACAATTTCATTAGATTCCGTTAATGACGACCGTTAAGTGATGATGTGGCTAACAGAAAGACACAGTCAGCATATTTTAACATTAAAAAACGACGACCCGACCCGCCAGCTCAGCCTTACCCGCCCTGTCAGCCATTCTTGCCCAACCCGAAAGCCAACCCAATTAATTGATCCTAAACCCAAACCCGAGACCCAACCCCCCTGAAAAGAAAATCGAAAACAGATGGTTAGGGAACTTTCCCTTTCCATCTTCGTCCTCTCATCCTCCCGCGCCGCCTCTCTCCATCGCACACCATCGAAAATCGCCGTAGAAGGGATGGAACAACCTAGATAATAAATAGTTAACTAAATTTTGCACAACATCTAAACCACTAAACTACAACTCTTCTATTGAAACAATTAAAAATTGACAAAATTTTACTCTTTGAACGCTAAAAATCCTCAATAACTTTGAGGGTAAATTGCATGCTTGGTCACTGAGATTACAAAAAACGTTCATGTTTGGTCACTCGAAATATTTAAACCCATTGGTGGTACTTCCGTTCACTGAAACCGTTCACGTTTTGTCACTCTCCATTGGTTGTCGTCCATCTCCGTTAATGGAGTCCGTTAAGTGATGACGTGGCGGACGGAATCGAGACATCAACACTATTTAACCCGAAAATAGTGCGACCCAACCAGCCACGTCACTGAGACCCGTCATGTCATATAAAACAACCCAACCATCTAACCAAATCCTCTAACCAACCAGACCTTACCCATCTCTTAAACTAAACTACCACTTCATGTTTTCACCATTCGAAACAAACAGAAAAACAGAATGAAAAGTAATCATGTTTTCTTATTTTCGTTGCCAAATTTATAAAATGGTGAAAGTGAATAATCCCTTCGGCATTTAGAATTTTTAGTCACCAAAATTCTTTATATTCCCAAGTAAAAATTTTAGTATATAAAATCGAGCAAAATTGGCTATGGATACTATGAAACAGTGAAAGCGCACAAAAGTGCTTAAAATCGGTATCCCAATCCCGAATACCGAATTATATCCGAAAGTCAATCTCAATTCCAATCCCTAAATAATTTCGGTATCCCAATCTAAATCCCTAAATATTACGATATCTCAATCGGTACTTCGGTATCCCAATCGGTATTATCGAATACGAAATTAATTATATTTGAAATAAATAATTAAATATACAAACTAGATTTGATTGTTTAATTTAGGGAAAAGAGACTAAGCAAAGAGTCTTGAGTTTTCCTAGAGCTAGGATATGGATAAGGAGAATGAATGAGAGGTGACATCTCAAGTTCTTGTCATTGGTAATCTTTAATTTGACGTTGAAAGCTGAGAGTCGACTAATATTAGTGTTTGTTTTTTGGTGTTATGAAAATAACAAGTTATTAGGTTAGAGATGAGAGTAACTTAAATTGGAAAGTCAAAATTGAGTTGGATGTGAACTTTTAAGTTGTGAAACAAAAATGAAATAATATATGTATAATCAAATGGCACTCTTGGTGGTTAAGGGTTGTGTAGTAATGAATGTGAGATCTAGTTGAGAGGATAAAATACACACTAGCTTATATTTCGGTATTTCGGTATATACTGATCCCAATCCTGTAATCCCGAATACCGAATTACAATTAAAATTCAATCCCAATCCCAATCGCAAGAAATAATACGTGTATTCTGTACGGTATCAAATATAGATAAATTCGATACGGTATTCGGTATATCCCAAATACCGGTACCAAACTTCCAGCCTAGCTGTTATGCACTTCTCTGTACGGTATCAAATATAGATAAATTCGATACGGTATTCGGTATATCCCAAATACCGGTACCAAACTTCCAGCCTAGCTGTTATGCACTTCATTGTAACATATTAATTAAGTTAAAGCAAGGAGTGACCAGCCAAAGCAAAGGGGCCAACGTGTCTGCACCACGCTTGAAACATTCACTGGTGAGAGGAGAACCAGAATTGCCACCTGCAATTCGTCAAACTGAGATGCTCTGCTACGGCAGAAGGAAAACTGAAGCTGGGGTGATGGCGCTACATAACTGAATCCACAAAACCTAACACCAAGAGAGAGCCAATAACAACGAAACAATACTACCTCCAATTTTCATAGCCTGCAGCCACAAAATCAAAATCACCATCCACACAACGGCCATAAATTCTAAGTTGAATTGAAACAGGACTGATTTCCCAGAGGAATTCTCTCAGTTCCGATAAAAGTTGCTACACGAAATGACAGGACAGCAATTTATTGAAAATCAAAATAGTTCTAAACCTGAGATGCTCTCATCAAAACCTCAACTGCAGCAGGAAAATTCATCAAACAAAAACCCCAAATTTCTAATACATGGAATAGCTTTCTGCAACCCCAGGACGAATGCTCTTGTATATTGCCAATGCGATGGGAAGAAGGCCAACCATGGCGATCTGGAGCTGATCCGAGCTGCTTGTCCTCACGCTGATCTGTCCACTCAGCTTGTTGTTCAATCCAGCACGAACCGCTATCTTGGAACTCCTTCCGACGGAGAACTGCGACTGGAGATTGGCCGCCACTGCCAAGTCTCCTCGCCATTTAACCAAAGACAGCCCCAAGGAAGACTGATCCTGTCCAATTGGGAAATCCGCTTCCCTAAGCCGCACTTCCATATTCGCTCCATATGCTGAGTCGCCTTGAGATCGGACTGTTCCTGTGCTACCCACCAGCATCAGCCGCTTACCAAGCACAATCTGATCCTCAAGCTTGATACCAGTAGCCACATTTGGCCCCAGAAAGGTCATAGATGCACCTGCAACCGTTTTGTTCTTCTTGTAGTTCTTGAACTTGGTCTCACCTCTCACAATATATGCAAGTTGTTTGCCAACATTCTGGATATCGAAACCTGCCATGCTCGAACCATTCTCCCCATGCTTCACTGCGACTGAAGAATCCAAGTGAAGGTTGAACTCCTTCTTGTCCTTTGTCACTTGGACAGTAACAGCTGCTGGGAACCGGTTTTGAACAGCTAAACTGTGCTCAACATTCACACCATCGTACCCACAGTCGTGATCCCAACCATGAGTGTCCAGCACCGGTCTCGCGAGTAACTGATTAGTTGGCTCCAAAAACCGATACCTGTAAGCTGGACTGTCACCATCAAATGAAGGTGGCAGAACCATATCAGGCAACGGCACTTGCACAGCAGCAGAACCTCCATTTTCGTCATCAGCATCAGCACCATCTTCTCCCATATCGTAGGCATAATCATCTCCAGCACTTCTTTTCCCTCTCTTCTTCATCTCTTTAAGTCTTCGCAGCTCCTCCTTCCACTGTTTCTTCTGCAGTAGCTTCACTCGGTAATCATATTCTTCAAGATATGCTCTCTTTTGCTCTTTGCTCAGCTTGGAGAGCTGAGATTTCCTCAAGGGCTTGAATGGTGGAAGCTGTTCATACTCATCATCATCTTCTTGATCAGAGTCGGAAAATTCAGCCAGGTCAACATCAGAATCAATGCTTTCCCCAACTCCTTGGTCAGTGGAGAGCTTCGGATGTGGGCGAGACTGCAACAGCCAGGAAAGCAGGTACGGAAGGGGTGGGGAACGAACTCGAAGTCCAAGAAGCTTCCTGGGATCTAATGGCTGCTCCTGAGGCTTTGACATGGAAGTTGCTTCAGACAAGATCTTCATAGAGAAACATAACAACAATAATTGAGGTCTCCAGCTTTGACCATTTGGAAGCACCTTCTCACCATCTCTGTTCTTACGACAAGACGGGTGATTCTCTACAAGAGACACCGGATTCATTAGACTGGGATTCATCAAACGAAGATCACCAACAGCTTGACCAATGGACTGCTGCACAACGTGAGATCGTTGAGCTACAAACACGTCATAACTCAGAGGGGCACCAGATGGTCCATCCGGGGGAGCCGAAGCTGCATGCGTCAGAGTGACTATAGCATTGCGCCAGATTGAGGAACCAAGATGATTTGTTATTGACCTTAATAGTGGCAGGTCATTTAGATCCCTAATCTGAGTATCAAGCCGATCAACATACAAGACAATATCTGGAGGGCATTTCCTCATGCAACTTTTTATGGCAGACAGTGTCCTACGATTGGTGCCTTGTTCAGAGCCAGAAGACTTGAGACCTGGGCTATCAATAACGCTGATCTTAACTCCATTTACGACGCCATTTATTACCTTAACCGCTCTGGTGGCTGGTTCAAATGCGTGGATGACAGACTTCTCTTCACCCAAAATAGCATTTACCGTAGCACTTTTGCCCACACCTGACTTACCAAGAGCCAGTATGTTCAGGGAAAAGCTTTCCTCCTCTTTCCCATCTGCTTCAAGCTGAAGAGCAGTCCTCTTGGCTGCATCCACATTGAAAAGTTGACTATTGGGCTTCCCGGCCACAATGGCCAGACGGTAAAGAACCTGTCCCACTATGGATTCATCTGGTGAATAACCCAGCCTGAAGACAAGCCTCAAATACTTGACCATTATCTGTTGCAACTTCTCCAGTTTCTTCTTCTCATCTTCACTCAGTCTGTCATCCGATTCAGCCCTACTAGCAAGAGTTGAAGGAGCAAAAAGATTTGGACGGTTCAGAGGTCGTTGAGCAGAAGGTTTTACAGATCTCAATGATGACCCCAAACCAGCAGGTCGCTCAACAGAAAAAAGTCGTGACCCGTCTTGAGAGGTCACTGTAACAGAATCACCTTCTGAACCTGCTCCACTGACTGCTTTCAGAAGAGCTGCCAACGCAGCTGAATCATACATCTCCTTCCCGTCCCCTTCATCCTCGTCAGTTTCCACTTCTTCATCAGAATCCGTGACAATTGCACCATCACGCATTTTGCTTTGATTGGCACCAGAACCGGCACCAGTGCCTTGCTTCAAGTCCTCCAGGAATTGTTTGGCAGCTTCAGAGCTTCCAAATATAACACCTTCAGTTTCGCCGTCAGACCCTTCATCATCCCCATCCTCATAAGGTTGATCATTCCCTTCATCTTCAACTTCATCATCATCTTCTAATTTAAGTTCTGCACTAGTAATATTATCCAACTCAAAGGATTGAGAAAAACCAGATTTGTCAGAGGTCACATTTGGTTCATCACTGTCCCTTTGGTCAGAGGCTCGACCATGCTCCAAATGTTCATCGGCTTGAGAAGTATGATCTACAGTAGTTTCAGAAGCAAGAATTTCACGAACTGCACTGCCAAGGGTTTGATCCTCATCCAAATCAAGAGTTTGACCTATGGTGTCTCCATCAGTCTGATCGGTTCTTCCATTAACCCCATCTTCCATCACCACCCCTTCAAAACTAGCTTCTCTTGCACTGATCTCTTGGTTACCGTTTAACACCACAGCCTCGGCTACACCACCCTTGTCTAGACTTCCATCCTTGTCTAAACCAGAAACATCCACCTCTCCTCCAATTTGCTTCATTTCAACAGCATCAGCCTCAAAACCAGACCCAGGTTCCTCGCGATTATCCAACTGAATCAAGCCTTCCTTGTCACCTGCAATCTTCTCAAAAATGTTATCCAGAGGCACTCTCTCATTGACCACAGCCACCTCCTCCGGTGCTGCTTTAGTTCCAGAGCCCGCATTTCCATCCACATCTCCCACCACAGCTACTCCAGACAAGGGCAAATCGATATCAACACGAACAGCCTCAACAACCGAGTCCCCTTCACTTGTAAATTTCACACCAGCCGTCTCAGCACGTTCCTTGGTTGCAGGCTCTGAAGTAACCGTAACAGCATCTAGTTTTTCATCACCAACGCTACTGGCAGCCTTTCCCGTTCCAGGTTCCATCGCATCAACAAATTGGGCCGGTTCTTCCCCATCACCAGCAATCTTATCAAACTCGTTATCTAGAGGCACACTCTCACTGACAGCAACCACCTCCTCCTTCACTTCAGTTTCAGAGTAGCTACTCCCCTCCACATCCCCAACCACGGCGACGCCTGGTGCCGGCAAATCAACACGAACAGTCTCGATAACCGAGTCCCCTTCACTAGTTAAATTCACACCAGCCGATTCGATCTTCCCACTCTCCTCAGCCCCCAATGCAACAGCAGCTTCACCGCCCACCTCCACCGCATCCAACGGAGGAACCGGAATGGCCGCAGCCACCGGAGCCTCACCTCCAATTACCTTAGCGCCCTCAACAACCGAAGGAGAGACCACCTCCAGACTGCCGGCCTTGTCCAAACCTAGAGTATTGTCGTCAATATCATCGGCCAGCGTCTGCTCCGAGGCGGCCTCGAACTCTTCCTCCCCGCTCACGAAGCCACCGTCATCGGTGCCGACGAGGTTACGGACATCATCACCAACTACAAAGAGGGAAAAGACACAGGACGACGTCAACTGAATTGCGGAGGAAAAGCAAATGGAGAGGAGCAGTAAGAGAAGGAAGGAAGGAAAGAAAGAAAGTAGAAGTCAAAGAACCTGAGGAGTTGCCGAGCGACGGCGGCGGCGATTCCGGAGCAGATGCGGCGGCGTTGGATGCCATTGTTGTTGCTGAATTTGGGAGAGAAGGGGGAGGATAGTCGATGAGGGGTTTCGGATAGGTTTATCTCTTGGTTATTAGGGTTTATGGTTGCATTTTGGATGGGGGTTTTTTGTGGCGGTAGATAAGAATTTGGAGGGGTGCGACGGAGGGATAAGGGAGGGAGGGAGAGAGAGTGACCGGGGAAAGGGAATGAACGAAAAGCACGACACCAGAAGTGGAAAGCCGCACGGATAATCGAGCGAGAGAAGACAACGGAGAGGGGAGCGTCGTTGCTTTCGATTTGCTAGTTGGTAGCTGGTGAGCTGTGTTGGGCTGGGCTGGGCTGGGCTGGAGCCTGCAAAGCCACCAACTCTCTCGGAACTGCCACCCATTTAGTCGTATGGATTGGTTGTCTTGTCCACTCAGCTTTGGGCCTTCCTTTGCTTGTTAAGTTTCTTTTAACATTCATGATATAATCTTATTTCGCAAAAACAAAAAATGGTTAGTTGAAATACATTAATCGTCAAAACAATCAATAATAGAATTTTCTATGTTTCAAACGATTATTTATTATTTAGTTAGTCGCTCCCCTTCGGATCGTGTTCTTTGTCAAGAGTCGGTTTAGTATCAATAACTTGATCACTTGTTGGGAGAGATTCAATAATGAATCTTGCACCAAACAATTATTCATGATTTAATAAGTTGTTCGCTTTCAAATGATGTTCTTTGTCAATAATCGTTTAGTTTCGATAACTCGAGGTTTTGGTAGAGGTTTAATTACATTTACTAACATGTCCCTCAAAAAGAAATTCAATTTATATGTGTTTGAGGTTTGTGCAAATGTGAATATCATGTGCTTAACAAATGGGGTCACCAAAATTCGAGCACAAGATCTCTTGATCGATAATTTTCAATTGGATGTTTCCTAATTTTCATTCTCAATTAACTATTATACATATTTAAAGAAAAAAGAAACAACTACAACTATAAACGAAATATAAAGACATAAGTAAATGAGTATATTAACAATCTAACCCAATTCGGCTAATTACTAGTCGAGTTCCCTGGAAACGATGTCAAAAACTTGGTGTGCTAAACTTTAAATTTGTAACTCGATCGTCAATGACACTAACAACTCCAATCTAAGTCAAGTATAACTCGAACTGGCGTTATACTATATTGGCTGATTAAAGTTGTAACCCGGCCTACTCTTTGAGTGTGGTCGTCTCTCTCGCCCTAACTATCAGGAATAATAAGAAATTGTTGGTAAACATATCTATGGTTGTCGAAGCGTGAAGGTCGATAATATGAGAATTGGTGAAATATTCATGTCTCTCAATTCCCCTCCTAAACACACCCACCGACCTGATGTTACATACTCGAATTTTTTAATTATGGATATAACATACCCTCTCTAAATGGATTTAACATGTGAGACACTACTCGAATGAGTTAATTGTCATGTAAATATTCAAGAGGCAAAAAATTGGTGAGCACTAAACAAATGGGAATGGTCACCTCTACTTAATCTAAGTCTCTTGATCATCAAAATATGACAAAACAAATGAATATAAACCATGAATTGACGCATTGGAAACACTAATTGAACTCAATCAAACCATAGATTAACAAATATCATCTTTTACATACTAAATCCTAAATTAGGATTTGGAGAACTAAGCCTCACGTACCTTAGAAAATTATCCCAATAAGGGGGAAAGAATAACAAAGGTGAGGGGAAGGAAAACCATTAGAAAGGAACTCTAAGTTGTTGGAAATTCTCCTCTGCTTCTCTTCAAGCTCTACTTCTTCTCCAAGCGGCTCCTTCTCTCTCTACTAGCTTTTTAGGGCTTTCAACTTCCAAAAGTCTCACCTCCAACTCTAGAGGACTCCTCTATGTATAGTGAGAAGGAATATGAACAAGATCACGACTTTTCTTGAAAGAGTTCACTTTCGTGATCAATTGAATGGTGCATCTTTGAGCTGCTTCATATGAGGGTTCACGGGCTCGATTTCACGATCGTGAACTGGAAGTCATGGCCCTAATCTTCCTCACGACCTCGGGGGTGAAGGATAGTGACTCGGACCATGAAAAACCTTCTATGTATCTTCGTAGGTAGCCTCCCTAAGTGCAAGACCTTGGGATGAGAGATCCCGGCCGTGATCTGGTGCGTGTCACGCAATCTGGTTTGCGACCTAGCACATCCTGACAATGATATGTTCCTTCTGCACGCAATTTTGCATTTGCCTTTGTTACCTCACTTGAGGCATCCATTCTTTGTCTTGTGATTAGAATGCACACTTTGGTGTTCTTTCTATATGGAGGGTGAAGCACTACAGTGGTCGGAATGGATGGAGCGATCATATGAGGAAGAGAGGACGCTAATCCCTTGGCGTTGCGTTAAGGAAAAATTGGAGTTTCGATTTGACAAATATGACAGATGGCGCTCAATCGGCTAGCAAAGCTTGGCCATACATGTATATTTGCTGAGTATCAATTTGAATTCTCGAAGCTGGGTCACATTTGCAAGGATATGCAAGAGGAGACTCTGGTGGGTGTGTGTATGTAAGATCTACGACTGTAATTTGAAACTGTTGTGAAGGTGTTCGAGCTCAAGTCCTTGCGTGTGGCGTTGTGGTTGGAAAGTCTGAAGGAAAAAGGTGGCAAGATGGAAATGGAATCGAGCTGATGAGCTAGAAGGAAGAAGAGGGAGTCCTCGCTTTAGCTTCATCTTCAACATACGAGCTAGGTCCCTGTATTAGAGCCGCGATAGACTCATTTCATAACTAAGCTCTATTACCATTTTAAGAAACATGGATTTTAGGTAAAGAGGGTGACATGCTAAAACACAACACCAAACTGCGACCAAGTATAATCGCAGTCCGAAAATGCAGTAAGTGGCAAGCTCTATTTGTCAACCCGGGGTCTAGATCTACTGCCTACTCTGTGATTATTTATTATCTAACAAACTAAATCGAGCGATTTTGATTGTAACTAAAAGTAGTAAGAAAGCAGGAAATTGTTAGCAAGGGAAGAGTCACTCGGGAATGAGTCCCCCTAGTTCCTTAGTTAGGTCAAAGTTGTAATTACTTTTGGTTGCTTTACTGTTGATTATACTGCGGAAGATCCGACAGTAGCTTGGAATCTCTTAAGGTGACCAAGCCCTGTTAGTCAAACTACCCGGCAGACGACTAGTCTTCACAAGCTGAGGCTATGAACACAGAACTCCACTACAGGAACTGAATTCCAGTACAAAGCAGTAAATCGACTAACTCTCGTATAATCGATTCATTACTACCGATTGAAGAAGCTCTAACAACCTAATTAGATTCTATCTATCTCAGGTTGCAGTAGAAATCAATAAAAGATGATCAGGCTTCAATTAACTCAGTCAAAACACTTCAATAGATTATAATCAAACAATATCACAATCCAAACATCGTTACAACAATGATCCCTAACACATAGAACTAGGGTTCTTCATACCCAAGTGAGAGAGGGTTCTACTCCATAGAGAGAGAGAGAGAGAGAAAGAGAGGGAAACAGCAAACAAAGCAGTCATACTCATCAAGATGGGAAGAATCTGCTCTAGGATGATGATCTTCACTCCAATGATGATTTCCAAGCTTGATTGATGAAACCCAGCTCCAAAATCACTCTTAGGCGGTGTTCTTCGCACTTTATCTCTCTAGGGCTCTGTTTTTGCTCTGGTAAATCGATTCTCTCCTTAGGGTCGAAATTGGGTTAAAACCCAGAATTTCCCGACCACACGGCTGTGTGGCTTCCCAGTCTGCTAGTGTGATTGCCAAAACGCGACGTTCCATTTAAGAAGCTTCATGCCCGCTGCACGGCCAGAAATGCACGACCGTGTGGAATCTCGGCCTGACCGTGTGAGCTCCCTGGGATTTCCACACGGCTCAAGAGTCCCAATACACGGCTAGTGTGTTTTTCCCGCGTAATGGGTGCTAGGTCTGCCGTGTGGATTCCTCAGCTTCTCGCCAGATGTCCAACTTTCGTCCAATTGACCCGAAACTCGCTCCCAAACCTCCAATCACGTACTAGGACCAGAAATAACACAAACGAGAACAACCTAGCGTGAAATCAGCCTAAGATACGAGAAATGAGGCTCAAACGGCATAAGAATGGTGGATAAAAACGTGTGTATATATCAAGTCATCAAATTCCCCCACACTTAACATTTTGCTTGTCCCCAAGCAAACCAAGTCAGATACAAGGTAAGCTCAACACATTTCAATCATACCAACTTTGGGGATAAATCATATAGGCAAAGAACACGTGAATCATACTGGCTTTTGATCATTGACATATGAGCAACTCAACAGCAACCTAGACAACCACCACAGAGGACATTCGAGTGCAGCAAAATCGGGCAAAGGAAGAGGAATCCTCTCTGTTCACCAACCAACATAGACTTGACTCAAACACTTGACCAAGACAGTCATCACATGCATCAAACTCAAGACATCATAATCAAGACCTAGCCATCTAGGTCCTCACCGGGGTCAAGAGCATAAAGAACAAGAGAATGAATCGCTCACTCTCGACCAGTGGGGTCAGGACAATTTGATGCGAAAAATGCACATGCTTATTCTCTCCAATCCTAACGTATCTTCACCATGATGGCAGCCTCTAAATGTTAGAGTTCACACAAGGGATGTCACCACTAACTAATCCGGAGGTCTTAGACACAGGTTCAAGTGACTGGCTAGGGTCTTGGACATGGGGAAAAAGCCTTTTAGGTGGTGGAAGTACTCATAGCACAAGGTTCCACAGTTCCAAACCCAACACATTCACAGCCAACCAAACCAGTAACTTTCTTTCTGCCATTCTACATTAAACAAATTCTCTAGAGCAGAAGAGCGAAGGAGGTCACAATAATGTTAGTATTTCTAAGCCAGACTGCTAACAAACACTAATTAATGAGCATGATTCAAGTTTTTGGTAGTGGCTCTCTTTCGCTTTCATTCATTTTTTTTTTCTTTTTTTTTTTCATTTCTTGAGAGTACCACCACCTCTGCACATTTTTCAATCACATGCCCAACTTTTAAGCACTACCTCCAACCCTCACATTATTTTTAGCAGAAACAGCAGAGAACAAGAAAAAACCACTCCGTGGAACCTTCTAAGAGATGCAAAAGGGTGATTTTCCGTTGTAGACTGAAAGAAAGGAAAGTACACGGCTCAAGGGGCTGACTAGGGGGTATGACACACCAGGACAGTCAATTTGGTCGTGGGCTATT